TATAGGGGACTTTAATTCTATTGCTGATTATCAAAAAGACCACAGTAATGGGGGTAAGAACAAAGGGGGATAAAGAGGGCTTCCCAAAATATGTATGGAAATGATGAAGGAGTTCAATTTGATTGATATATGGAGAAGATCACATCCCGAGAAAAAACAATTTACATTCTGTTCAAATCCTCATCAAATATGGACAAGAATTGATATGGCATGGATGAATGGGGAAATAGCAAATGGGATAAAAGGGATTGAAATTTTACCTAATGAATGGGCAGATCACAATCTGATTCAGATAATATGGAAGGGTAGGGAAAAACCCAAGAAAAGATGGATGTTAAATACTCAGTTAATAAGAGAAAAAGAATACACCAACAAACTCAAGGAGGAATTAAATTATTTCTTAAAGGAAAATGATAATGGAGCAACTACGAAACAAAACATTTGGGATACAATGAAGGCAGTAATAAGAGGTATAACAATCTCTTATAACGGCAAGAGGAATAAGGAAAAATACGCCCAGCAAAACAAATTACAACAAAAAATTAAGGAATTAGAAACTCAATTACAGAGTACCCCAAAGGATTCAAAATTGCAAAATCAGATAACTAAACCTAAACTGAATTTAATTGAAGAGAGAATGATTATAAATTTGAATACAACTAGACAAACTTATTTTGAGCATGCTAATAAGCCAGGAAGATGGCTCTCATATAGACTAAAAAAAAGGAAATAAAAGAGATTGATATACCAGCTAATAGATGGAAAGGAGATAGACCAGAAAAAAGAAATTGCCCGTAAGTATTTTGAAGAGTTATATAAAAAGGAAGAAGTTAACGAAGATAGAATAAGAAACTATTTAGATGAAGTGAAGGATAAAGCAATTGGGGAAGAAATGGAAAAATTATTAAACAAAGACATTACTTGGTTTGAATTGAAATCAGCAATAGACAACCAGAAAAACAATAAATCCCCGGGACCAGATGGGATTCCAGGGGAGCTGTACAAGGCAATAGCAGAACAAATAGGACCTCTTATGGTGGAAGTTTTTAATGACGTCTTATTGGCAGCCAGGATGCCGGACTCATGGAGGGGGGCATTGATTTCGCTGATCCCAAAGGAGGATTCGGATCCCCGATATATACATAATTATAGGCTGATTTCACTGTTAAATGCTGATTACAAAATATTCACTTCTATAAAAGCAAGTAGAAATGGTGTAGGGTCTCCTGCGTGGGGTGGGGGGTTGGACTAGATGACCTACAAGGTCCCTTCCAACTCTGATGACCTGTTAAACTATCTCCAGGATATTAGGGAGGTCTCTTCCGGCCCTAGAATCCCACCCCTGGTCCTCCTGTCAGCCTTTGAAGCCATTCCGGAGCATCTTCAGGGCTGCCACACCCAGCAAGGCCAGCT